GTCTAAATACTAAAATACGTTTAACAATGCTATGTTTAAGTGGTTTTTAACTATATTCTCGCTGGGTGCCCCTGTATGGCGCCTCCGGTTTCAATCATCGCCCGAGATAACCGCATGCTCGATCACATATGAGCCCCATTTGCGTAGAATGAAAGTTCAAAACACTTGACCAACCAACGACACGAACCAACTTTCGTTGTTTACTTTAAACTCTTGAATAGATTCACGAATTTAAAAAGACAATCTTCGATGTCTTTGATTATATTTAGTAACAGTCAGAGGGAGGAAGTGAAGAGCAAGACGAAAATCAGAAGTACAGATACCTAGTAAGCGTACGTACGTCTTCTAGCAACGGATTTTAAGGTGTATATATATTAGATTTATATTGTAACGTACAATAACTCGGTCTCTGGATATACGGTCTGTTCTAAAACACTACATGAGTGGTTCATACTTTCATAAGAGCGTTTTTTTCTTTTTAGAATACCGAAAGCCAAGAAACTCTGTTTGATTGGTCAAAACTGTAAAATGTTTAGTACGGGTGACAATACAAAAATTCCGTTCTCTCTCATCAAAGCCATATTTAAGTTCGATCATCTAACTGGCAAGTCCAACCTGGACAGTATTTCACCCATTGTTTTCCCCCTTTTCCATGGATTTAAAGACCTTGCTGGACAATCTTCATGATGAAGTATCCTGTTCTGTGTGTATGTGTACATTCACTGATCCAAAACAGTTGCCTTGTTTGCACAGTTTCTGTCTTCACTGCCTGAACGGAATTCAACGAACGAGCGGCGTCCATGGTAAAATCACATGCCCGGAATGCAGGAGACAGTTTCAAATCCCTAAAAGTGGAAACCTCACGGAACTTCCCACCAATTTTAGAATAAACAGTTTGCTAGATGTCTTGGCCATTAAGGAATGGAGTACAGCTAACGTGAAATGTACAAACTGCGACAAACGGAATGCTCAGACCTTATATTGCTTCCAGTGTTGTTCTTTCTGGTGCGAGGAATGTGTTTTAGCCCATAACATGATACGTACCAATAAAGAACACAGAACGCTGGCACTGAAAGATTTCCAAGATCAAGACATCAAAGCCTTGCTAGAGAGACCAGCATTTTGCCAGACGAAACGACATGAAAAAGAAGAGTTGAAATTCTTTTGCAAAGATTGTAAAGTCGCCATTTGCAACACTTGTGTTGTGACACTTCATCAAGGTCATGGTAAATGTTGTTGGAAGCAGCTAGAGATGAGCGCAAAACACAGATCAACTCTGCGATTAAACATCTAAGAGAGAAGGCACAAGAAAAACGCAAAGAAATTGAACAAATTAACCAAGCGAGAATGGAAGTTCAAGTGCAAGCAGCCGGAGTAAAAACCCAAGTGCAGACGAATGTAGACCAAATTATTGCAATTATCGAAGCAAGGAAATGGGATGTTTTTGATGTAGTCGATAAACAAGGGAAAAAATCACCAGAACCTCTCTCACAGAAAAGGCGAAGTTGAAAATCAAGTGAGATTAATTGAATCAGCAATTGAACAAACTGATTCTCTGTTAAAACGAAGCAATAGTGTTGAGATCCTTGCATTCAGTGAAACGTTTGAAACAATACTACAGGAAGCGAACACCCGAGAAAACGGTCACACCGAATGTAGTCCTCTGTTTCGTTTCAATAGAAGTGAAAACACGGTTATTGACCTGTTGAAAAGAGGGGGGATAGGTAATTTAAAAACCGTTTATGACGAAATTAAAATGTCGCAATTAGGGGGTAAAGGTGGAGAAAGAAGTAAAGTACTTATTTCTGGAGAAAAAGAAGCAACTGTTCTTGACACTCCTTTTGAGGCTGAGGTGCCGAGGCGCTTCAGACCTGTGTTATCATTCGGACAAAAGGGTAAGTCTATCGGAATGCTTGACGGGCCCTGTGGGGTAGCGGTGAATGATCGTGATGAAATCGCTGTGACTGATTGCTTTAGCAATAGAGTTTCATTGTTCAGTAGTGATGGCACCCACTTACGATCGTTTGGCAGGGAGGGTCAAAAAAATGGTGAGTTTAAGTTTCCTACAGGGATCGCTTTTGATAGTCTTGGCAATATTTTAGTCGCAGACTGTTGCAACCACAGGGTACAAATCTTTGATGAAAATGGTAACTTTCTTGGTACGTTTGGTGAACAAGTGAATCAAAATCACAAGTTCAAATCCCCTCGAGCTTTATCAATAAACGACAATGGTGAAATTATTGTTGCTGATAGTGGTAACAAATTAATCAAGATTTTTTCTCCTAGTGGGGAATCAGAGTTTACGTAACTTTGGCGGAGCAAGTACTTTTGTCACTCCCTATCACTGTATCCAACTCAGTCAACATTTTATAGTCTCAGACAGGGATGATCATTCCATTAAAATGTTTGATCTTGAAGGAAAGTTTATTTCAAAATTCGGAAAGCAGGGAAACAAGAATGGAGAGTTCAACTATCCTCGTTCCCTGTTAGTTAGTAAAGA